CACCATAAGATTGCTCTGATGTAAGCGCTGCGTCCTGTAGCAGATATGTCTGGCTCATGACCCTGTATTAGGCACTCAGCTGTGTTCAGCGTTGGATCCTCTAGTCTTGGACTCACGGCCAGATCTTGAAGCTGTCAAAAACACATAGCACTAAATAAATGTCCGTTAAAACTATGAAATGAAATAACTGCGCTCGACAGAATGAAGAAAGCATTCTAATTTCGTGGTTACATGTCATCTGTTGGGGGTCCTGTGAACGCAAGCCAGACTCTTTCGGGCTATGTATGTACAGTAGTCACCAACGGGTCATGAAACTTTGGCCGTATTAATGGGGTGCCGGTCAAATCTCATGNAATTTTCCCCCAAAATAAAATATTAAAAACTTAAAAAGCGAACAAGTGATCCACAAAAATGTAAATTAAAAAACAAGTGAAAGAACCACAAACTGTGATAAGCCAACCGCAATTGTCAATCGCTGGCTCAAAACGAAGTAATCGATAAATAAACAATGGCCACCATTTGGCCGAAAATTTGCTAGGATATTTGTCCGCGGACATTATCTGTTCCGAGAAGCGAGCAGTTCAGGCCAAGAACGAAAAACTGTGAGCTTCAAGCAACAGGCAACGTCCAAGGACAAATATCTGAGCAAATTTTTAAAGTCAAATGGAGACTATCGTGTTTATTATCCGCAACAAGCAGGATTTGAAAACTGGAGAATATCGCTCGTATATTCTCCAGTTTTAGCTGGGCATAGTCAGTCATGTGTCGCGTTTAGACCAATCGCGTGCGAGCGAAAATATTTGATGGATTATAATCTCGAAAATTCTCGTATCGGGCGATTTCTTATCCTCAGTTGGTGATGCACATCTCTCGGTTTTTTTGTTTCATTAACCTTTTTGACAATAAAGTTGACAGTTACTTGTGATAATACATTGTTCGTGGCTAGTCTTACGCAGCTCGTTTCGTCCCGGCCAAGGGACTCATCAGAGACCTTTCTGCTTGACAAACTCGTTGGGCATCGCGCCCAAAGTCCCGTTCGCTAACAAAATTATGACAGCAATCTCGCCTTATATCGCATAAGGATTCCCGACCGCACAAATTCACGAGTGAAAATTGACAATAAAGTTGACAGTTACTTGTGATAACACATTGTTCGTGGCTAGTCTTACGCAGCTCGTTTCGAAACGAGCTGCGTAAGACTAGCTACGAACAATGTATTAATCTTTTTGCTCGATTAATGGTAACCTGATCTTCGATTGCTGAGAGAATTCTAATGATCCAATTCTCCTATGAAAGTCTCTATTCTCCACCTGTGATTTAATTTTCAAATCTCGCATTCTTGTATAATGGTTTCCATTTCTCGTAGAGTGATTTGCTAACCTCAGACACCGATTAATAAGACTCGATGGGTGATTTTGAACTAAGTTAATCCACTTTTGTCACGTTTGGCTTGATTGACGCAAGCCAAAAACGTAGTCGTTAGTTTTGAACTTCAGAACTTCAGAGTTCACGTGCTATCAAAGAGTGCAGTTATGGTTTGACCGTAAAAGACTTTAAAATGATTGCAACTTCAAGTAGAGATATACACTCTTTCTTTTTTTATAAGAATATGTTTCATAGATATATCGAGGCTGAAATTTTCGAAATTTTAAGAATATTTTAAGAATAAACCTGAGGCTGTGATTTTGAAAAGAATATAATTTTTTGCGTTGAAAATTTGCAAATATAATACAATTATATGTTTTTAATTAACCCGTATAAAATTCTTCCTTTCTCTAAACGGGAAAACTAGCCAAAAACAACAAAAACAACAAAAACAACACCAGCCGTACGTATGTTTAAAGCTAATAACATTTTTGCAAGAAGTTATGTGTGTGATATCAGGTTTCAATGCCTGCAGCGTGGCTCCAAAATTACTTTAACGCCATCCAGACACCAAATACATTCGAAAACATAAATGTTATACTTTATGATATAAATATATTTACAAGAATATTTTCAGTCTAAAATTGGCAGAAAAGTATAAGAATATTCAACCTCGGCTCGAAAAACGATATTCTTATAAAAAGGAGTGTAAATTACTTATCAGCCTACCTCAGCCAGTGCTCTGTCGATGACTATTTGGCGGTCTTCTTCAGAAACTTTACAACAGAAGGGCTCAATGGTAATGTTTAATTTTCGATTGCGAGGTGTGATTAGAATCGAGCCAAGAGACAATAACTCAAGAACCTTGGCAGGGAAAGCAGCATATAGACATGACATGCTCCATGTGTATGGAACTGGTGAAGATTTTCCCGTTTGATTGAATGTATGCAAATTGACATGAACAAGAACAGATGAAGGCTTCCTTGCAGGGTACAGAGCTAGAGCAATGTTGAAGTAGTTCTTCGGCGATGCCAAAGCACTGTAGACATCTGCGTAGGTTTCAATACAGGTGGTATAGTTCACACATTCTTTGAGCACATTGGCTTTGGTGTGCTGAGCAAAATTCGTCACAATGACTTGGATCAGCAAAAGCGGAGAGAAGAACTTCTGTAAAGTGGCCAGGAACATTATGGAGGTCTCTGCAACGGTTCTGTTTTAAAGAAAGTAAATTGAGATTTCGTCTCTTCCTCTTGAATTAAGACCTCTACTTTCAGTTTGACAACACATGCAGAATGTTTAAGGCTCCATTTAATCCACTATTCTTTAGCGTACAGCCTAGTACAAGCCACCAGAATGTAACTCTAACCTAGTCTAGTTAATCATCAATAGTAATCAAGTACATATTGTAACATCCTCCCTTTTAACAAAAATGAAAAATGATAAAGTGCCAATGTCATTTGAATTCGGAATCAGTGGGTCCATAAGACAAATCTATCAGTAAGTGACTTCAAGATAAGATGATCAATAAACTATGACACTAATCACTATGACAATGGCAAGGAGAAATGTAAAGTCATGAGTTAAGTCATAAACGTAGTCCTTGAGGTATGTTGGGCTCTTTCTGACTCGTTCCGACCTCCGACACTGTTCCGGGGCGGTCACCAATCCAGGGTGTGACTGATGGGCGATATTGCTCTGGTAGGGGGTAATCGTTGTAGTTCTAGTCGCGTCCTCGCCTGCGCTTGTTATATTCGGTTCTGGTTCTGTGATGATCGGTTCAGCCGGCGGTTCAGACGTTTTTTGCAGATGCT